TAAAAATATGAAGCGGAAAGCTGCTCCTGTGAAGAATTTTGTGTTTCATTAAATGGATGTTTCTTAGTTGCAAAATATTCCTCGAAATTCTTTAGAAAAAATAAAAGCAAGATTTTAGGTTGTTTTTTGTTCTTCCCATTCTGATGTTAGATGGAAAAGAAATGAAATACATAAATTTGGGGGCATTGAGATGAAATCTATGACGACATCTCATCCAAAAAAAAAAAAGAAAGAAAGAAAAAAATAAATGGACCCTTGGCTTTCAGAATTGACCCAGAATTTTCTTTTGCAGTAAAAGATTTGTGATGTGTCTTGTTAGTTATTTCTCTCTAGTTCTGTTACTTCTTATTACTAAGGACCTGGCCATATTCTTATCTTAAGTAAATGTATCTTTATATTTGTGTCTGTTTTTATGTGAGCCAGGTTGGAACGCCTCCCTTGGAGAAGTTTAACAACTGGGGTGGATCGCTGTCCCTGGGACACCCATTTGGAGCAACTGGCTGTCGGTTGGTCATGGCAGCTGCCAACAGATTACGGAAGGAAGGAGGCCAGTTTGGTTTGGTGGCTGCATGTGCAGCTGGAGGGCAGGTATGTCCCCGCAACCTCACAGGAGCGTCTAGAAAGTCATTTTCTTGAAAACAAAACAAGCTCATCCAAGAATGTTTGATTTAGTTTATTTTGAAACATTCTTAGAACAATATTTCTGATGACAGGCAACCAGATAAAAAGCAGGCTATTTTTGCAAGGAGAGGGTACAACTTTAATTCTAAGACTTTGGAAAGAAGATGCTATTTAAATCCAAGCTATTTTTTTTCTAAAATAATGTTTACGTTTTGTTTATAAAAGTAATATGTGCTCATTACGGTAATTATGGAAAATATAAAAAGTATATAGAAGAAATTAGGTCACCTATAATTCCCTCACGAGACACTTATCATTCACACTCTATTTTCTTTAGTAATAAAATTTTATTCATTTATCACTTCTCTATATGAGACTTAGCCATAAAATTTCCCCAAGAGGTAAACTATCTTTCTTGAGAACCTACAGTACCTTAATTGAAGAATTAATTTACCTCTGGATGACTTATGCCATTTAGCTGGGGGAAATGATATTATTCCACAGACTTTTTTCAACCTCCTTTACTTGGAGTATAGATGCAACTTCCTACCTGCTATAGCACTTCACTGTGGGAATAAAATCCAAAAGGAAGGCTGGCTGTAATCTTTTTTTTGGTTTGTTTTTTAAACCCTGATGGAAACAGGGTTATAGAAAATTCCTATTGCTGATCAAGATGAAGAAATAAGATATGTAAAAGTAAAAACATTTTACGTTTACAAGCCTTTATTTATGGCTTTTCCTCAGAGACTTTGAAGAAACAAGGGGTCAGTTATTTATAGGTTGGAACATTTTAGAATTCATCATCAAAAGCATTTTGTAATCTGTGTAACTTTTTTACAGAAAGCCAAAGTCAGTTAGGACTGGAGCCCTTGCTCTTATGTGTCTGTGCCAAGCTGAACGAAGAAGATAGCTAGTGCACAGCACTGTATGTAGTACATAGTTCAAGTAGGTTAATGGCCTTTGGTTTTCAGTATTTGTTCCCTAATTTTTTATCTCCCATATAGAGTATAAGTAACACAACACTAGGTGCTTTTGTGGATGAACAAAGAATAATACCCAGCACTATCTAGAAATTTATAGCATAGTGAAGAGAAAGATGATGCATCTTAGAAACTAGATTAAATTTGGCATTGTTTCATCCAGAGCAAATGAGTGATACAAGCATGATTCTATCAGAGGAGGAATCCGTCATGAATCTAGAGCAGCTTTGGCAGTATGTAGTAACATTTTGGGCCAGATAATTCTTTGTTGTGGGAGATATGCTATGTGTTGTGGGATGTTTGGTGTGGTCTCTACCCACTAGATAACCAGTAGCAACACCTCCATCCATGCCCATATACACACAGTTGGGACAACCAAAAATATCTCCGGATATTGCTAACTGTCCTCCGTGGAGTTGTGAGGAGCAAAATCGCCTCCAGTTGAGAACCACTGATTTAGAGCAATCTGAAATATCTGAAACATGAAACCAATGCATTTTAAATAAAGCTGGAGAAGGAAATTTCTGCCTTATCATGCGCCCTTCTAGGGTAACCCCAAGTCAGTCAAACGTTTTCATCCCTGTACCATTTTGTTTGCTTGTTCCTGTATCAAGGTATTTAGTTTGGTTTGAATTATAGTGTATACTAAATTGAGGACAGATACCATGTAGCAAAGCTTTGTACCCACACAATGTTCAGCCTTAAAAATAATAGATTCTTAATATTTATGGGGATCAGATTGGACCAAGTAGCCAAGCATTAGTTAGGCTATTAAGTGGTTTGATCCCAGTCCAAAAGATAGAATGGCTGTGATTATCAGATAGGATTTAGACTCATGAAATTATAAACTTCTATGCTTGTTTCAGCTAGGGAGATAACTAGGGTGCAGCACTGTGCATAGTGCTGGAAAAGGGGTTTTCTGCCTTCTTACCTTTGGGCCCTTGGATCATCTTCACCTGACTAGAATAGTGAAGAGTCTTTGGCTTTGGAATCATCTAGACCTGGTTTCAAATCCTGGCCCTGTTTTTTAATAGCAGAGAGGATTTGGATGAGCAACTTAACCTTTCAGAGCCTCAGTTTTCTAATCTAGAAATTTACTGTTGTTGGCATTCACTGTATTATGTTTATTTTTATACAGCTAAAAAAGCCCCCTGTGGCTTCTCATTTTAATAGCAACCACGTATGGAGCATCTACTAGGAATCAAACTCAACTAGACAGGCTCTGATGTGTATATGTATACATGTATATATGTAGGTAAAGAATTGTGTGTGTATTATATGCTATCTAATTTAATGCTCACAAAAACACTATGAAGTAGGCACCACAAGCCCTATTCTATAGATGAACTTGAGGTTCAGAATGGCTATCCCAAGATCACACAGCATTTGAATGGCAGAACCAACCTCAAACTCCAAAGCCTGTATTTTTCCCGTTGTTCTCTGCTGCATCTGTACTGGCTAGATTAATTGTTCATTACTCTTACTGAACTTATTTTTCCTTCACAGGGCCATGCTATGATAGTGGAAGCTTATCCAAAATAATCGATCAAGAAGCGATGACCTGGAATTTCTGTGCAACACTCACACTAGGCAATGCCATTTCAATGCATTACTAAATGACACCTATAGTTCCTAGCTCCTCTTAGGAAAACAAAATTTGTGGCCTTCTGTTAAATACTTTGCAATTAAGCCTCGCCACTGTTCTGAGCTTTTCAATAGTCACAGCTTACTGCTCTTTCAGGGATTTCTTAGTCTCCAGACTCTCACACGTAATACATTTAAGCATTTGTTTTTAGCCTGTATTTTCATGAAAGACTAAACAAGTGGTTGCAATCTGGAAAAGAGGTTAGCTGAGATTTGGAGTCATCTGTAATATTTGCAAATTGTACTCATTCCTATTTGTGACCTAAAGCTAAGTGTTTTCTATAAGCTACAAACCAATGTGCCTATATTAACTTAATTATGGAAAGGTAATTCAGAATCTAAACATCATCGAAAACTTACAGTAAATGTTTAGATACACAGATACCATGTTGGTTAACCTTAATAAAGTGGAGAGCTATTGCAGAACTGTTTGCCTTATTTTTATTCAGATAAAAGGTGGTTCTCTTAGCTTAGGGGCAGATTTTTGCCTTTGATTCCTCACTTGTAACTTCTAACTATTATAGTCAACCATGAGACTGCTAGGAACATAAAGAGGGTCCTGCATTAGAATAACACCTTTCCCCCCCATTGCTAACCCCCCCATTGTAAATTTATTTCACTGTTTAGAGATGCTTCTGTTTGCCAGGATTTAAATGAAGTGTAAAGAAATTTAAAAATTTTGATCAACATACTAAAAATCCTTTCAGTTTTTTGACAACCAAACAGCACTGAATAACATGTATGCTAGTCACAAGTTACCCCCCAGTGGAGAAACCTGGCCAACAACAGCTTAACCAAGTGACCGGGGCCAACGTTATCAGTGTCACATACTTCCTGGTATGATGTAATCAAGAGGCCGCTTTACCTCAGTGGTATGCTCTCCAAATACCTATAACCCAGTTAAATCACGAGAAAACATCTTGACCAGCCTCAGAACTACCCAAGGTCATGAAAGTAAGAGAAGACTGTGACTGTCACACACCAGAGGAGGCTAAGGAGACATGACAATAAGTGGAAAGTATCCTGGGCTGGACTCTGAACTAGAAAAAGGACATTGATGGAAAAGCTGGTGAAATCTGATTAAAATCTGGAGTTTAGTTAATAGCTTTTAAAAAACAAACAGAAATAGGGCCTCACATATATCACATATTTTTGATAAGAATGTCAAAACTTATGGGATAGTCAACAAATCATGTTGGGAAGATTGTATATCCACATACAAAAGAATGAAGTTGGATCCCTACCTTTCACCATATACAAAAACTAACTCAAAATGGGTCAAAGACCTAAATGTAAGAGCTATAAATCTCTTAGAAAAACTTATAAATCTCTTAGAAGAAAATGGGAAAAGCTATAGGACATTGGACTTGCACTGATTTGTTGGATATGATACCAAAAACACAGAAAAGAAAGGACAAAAATAGATACATTAGACTTCATCAAAATTAAACACTGCATCAACGACTAGTGAAAAGGCAGGCTTTGGAATGGGAGAAAATACTTGCCGTTTGCTTCCGATGGTCTGATGCTGAGGACAACTTCGTGTTCCTGTGGTCCGTCTACTTTCGAGTGCATGGTGTGTGCTGAGCACTGGTCTAGATGCTGAGACTTCAGCAACCAACAAAACAGACAAAAATTCCTGCCCCCTTTGCTTCCATCTTTCCAGAGAGGAGAATCCTAATTCTCAGCCTATCTTCTCCCCCTACCCTTCTTAGTTTTGTTGATTTCTTCAAGTCTCAAATTCTGGCCTTTCTTGAAGGGTAGAAAGCAGTATCGGGGTCTCCCAGTCTTTCTTAGAGTTTAATGGGTGACTCAGAGGCCCTCTGCCTGTACCCACTGGGGTTTATTTTGGAACTTGAACCAGTATACTCTGCTTTTTCAATGAAGAGGGATCATTGATTAAGAGGAGATGTGAGACTAGAAAGACAAAAATAGCAGAAATACTGTTCTGAAAAGAAATACATGATTGAAAGAGAAGAAGCATTTAGACATGTTGGCAATGTTTGTAGCTGCAGTGAACTCAACTAGGAGCCCTTTTCCCTTTCATACTTAAGGGACCATCAGTGACCAAGCAGAATTGATTCCCAAGCAGAACTCCAAATAGGGGGTTCAAAGCTTTCCCAGGAACCCCTCATGTCCACTGTTCTGTACAAACAAACCTAGATTCCAAAGGGTTTTTTGTTTGTTTCTTTGCTTGTCAAGTTTCTATTTTTATGCAAAATGTTCAAGAGAACTTTTTAAAAATCGTTTATTTTTCTAATATAAAAATCCATGCTTATTGTAAAAAGATCCAATAGAGTAAGAAGAAAATGAAAAACCAAGTAGAGATACCCACCATTAATAGTTTGATGTATTTTCAGTACACACATTTATTTGGATACGTGGAGCAAATTGCCTAATATAATGCTGTTCTGGAACCCTTTTGTTTTACTTAGCTATATAGCCTAAACATTTTTCCACATTGTTTTTAATGACCACATAGAATTCCTCTTGTATGGGTGGGTATTCCTAATTTGTGCCTCTTTTTTTTTGAGAATGTTAACATTCCATTGCACATCCTTCGTACATTTATCTGTTTACTTGTCTACTTATTGCTTTAAGCCATCTTTTTAGAAATGGAATTGCTGCTAAATCTCACTTATAGTTGCTTCCAGAGCCACTTTTTTCAGTCCTCTCTTTTATATGTGAGAGCCAAGTGAACAAAGGCTTAATGTCATTTCATTTACTGACTCTAAAGTGTGTTTTTTACCAGCTATGCATGCATTGAGTATGTGCAATCATTTGAGAAGGAAAATTAGAACATAGTTCTACAAAGTGTACTCAGAAAAGGAGTCTCTGCTGCTCCTAAAGTGTATTAGTTGAATTATTCAAAAAGTTGCATAATTTAAAAAATCAAGACTGTAAATCCTAATGAAGTGATAGTGACATTGAGACATGACTATGTTGCCAGGGAAACCAGCAAGGCAAAGTGGCTGCCTGCCTCCCCGGGCAGCTGGAACAAGACCGAAGCATAGAAACACTGCAACTGTCCTGGTGAGTTGATATCTTCTATTGGAAAAAATGATCAAATCCACTTAAATAAATATTTAGGTGAGTTTATACACAATTAGAATATTCACACAAAAAAATTCATACAAATCATTAAATGAAGGTATAGTGTTTATAAAAAAATGTTTTCAACAGTATGTGCTATTCACTTTTATTTCAACAGAGAAAGTCCCCATTCCATTTTATAAAAATATTCATGAAATTTGTAATTAACAAAAAGATTCCTTTATCAGAATTTTTTCATTTATCTAGTTTAAATTTTTTTTCAGAATCCTGTCATTATTTCTTGTGAATTCCATAAATTAATTCAGATGGATGTCTTGGTGCCTGCTGGAGGATTTTCTTAAATCTTCTCTGTGTCTAGCCTTAGCCCGATCCTGTCCCTTTTAAACGTGTTTGTCATCTTCTTACCTTGTGGCAGTCTATGGTGCCTTTCTCTACTTTAAAATTTACGACGCTTTCTTACAAATTTGCTCATATCAATGACTTTTTGTATACATGCATATATCGATGAAATTTAATTTTATATTGGAATTTTTTAAAGGTTAGAGAAAGAGGGCTCATTAACTTCATCTTTCCTAAACTGAAAACAAACAAACCAAATCCTGCCCTTCACCTCTAATGTTCGGAGGATCAGTGTTCCCATCAATTAAGTCATCCTTTCTTCATAACTGTAGAGAAGAAATAATCAGAAATCACTGAATAGTTAAAACCACTTTTATCAACTGTATCTGTAACATAAATTATTGACTAGTTAAAAACTGGTTGACCAATGTCACCCCAATACATTTAATTAAAAACCTGGTTGAGAGAGTTTTACTTGCAATTATTTTGAACTTTGATGTCTTCATTAATTTTAGAGCAAAGGCAGGCTTTTTCATTAGATAGCTTTAGCTAGTTTTCCATGTCTTCTTGCTTGGATAGTTTGAGGGTGGGGACAGGTGAGTTCAAGAGCAATGAGTGCAACTAATGGAAGCACAGCCTGTCCTTTGGGAGGGCTGCGCTCTGGGAGCGGGCAAGGGTTCGGGGCTTTGGGCCAAGGCCTGTCCTGGTGGATTCAGGCATACACCCTACACTCCCTTGGAGGAACGTGGGTTCTCTGTGTGGTTCCCTCCAAGCCCTTGCCTTCCCCACATGAGAGCTTGCCCCCACGCTGCGGGCTGGTGAAAGGAGACCTTGCTCCACCTTTGCAGATTGCCCTGACTTCTGGACACTGAGCTCACCCATTGTAATCCTTGAAAACAAGGATTTTTCACTATAACTCGATAGTGTGAGAAGGAATTTTCAGAGTGAACTGAGGCAAGGGTTGGTGGTGGTTAAACTCCCTCCAGCTTTCTGGGAAAGCAGTAGTAGATGCTAGGATTTCTGCTCTAAGGCCTTCACCTCCCCAGCTCATCTAGAAATGTCTACCCTGCCAGGCCTGCTGCCACCCTTTGGGCTGGAGCAGGTGTATGGAGAGGAGCTTTCAAGAGCTTTGCCAGGAAGCTGCTCACACTGCTCCCAAGAGAGCTTCATCCTTACCTGACATTTTCACTTCTTCTTTTGCTGGGTTCCAGGATGTGGGTTTCATTTGTGGCCTAGGAGGAGGTGAAAAGGCCAATTGCGGAGCGATTTTTATTATTGTCAGCTCTCCCCTGAAGAGGCTGTGTCCATTCCTGCGTCCTCACGCGCCCTCCTGCTGGGGCCACAGTCATCCTGGGAGCTTTGCTCTCAGCTACAGTGATGCCCCGGAGTCCCGACCCTAGCTTTTCTGTTCAAACAGTAACTGGAGGCAGATTTTCAGGTGGGGAAATCAGGACCAAGACAGTCACCAGGGGTCCAGGTTGCAATCAGGAACCCAAGAACCTGATTCTGACTTTTCTGACTGGGCTGCTTCCTGCACTGCGGAGAGCTTGAATCCAAAACAAAGCTCATTCTAGAAAACACCCCCAGTCTCCTCTCAGCTCCTTGAGGAGACTGTTGTGCCCATCTCCTCTGAGGAAGGCTGCGGGACACCTGCTCTGACCCGCTCTCAGGGAGAAGGAAGGATCTGAAGGCAGCGACTCACCAGGGAGATGGTGGAGTTGGGGGCTTGGGCCCCGCAGAAGCGCTTGAGTAAAGCCTCCCGTACCTGCAGGAGAGAGAGGCCTGGTTATGGCAGCCAAGGTGCCCGCCTTCGGGTGTGGGTCAGGTGGGGAGTAGGTGGGCAGACTCACTTTCCTGTCCATAAGGCAACCAAACAGCAAAATGAAGACACCCTGGAAGGAGGGATATGGGAATCAGTGGGTCACTGAGGAAGGAATGAACCGAAATCAACGCCCCCCTCCTCCTCAGCCCCCTCTGTCCTCCCATCTATTTCACACCCCGGGGCTCCCCTCTGGGGTTCCTGCACTTTAGCATCATTGGTGCACAGGACCATTTCAGGGCTTTTCTTACTGCTCCGGGTGCAAAGGGGAGAGCAAAGTTTCGGGTGCTGACAATTCCCTGACCTCTCTGGCAAAACCAGATATTATTTTATAGATGAAAACCAAAGCTCGGAGAGGTTTGTCCAAAGTTATCCAGCTAGTTGAGGGAGGAACTAGGATCCAAACCTACGCCTCCTACAATGCTCGAGCTGTGTGTCTTCTGCTCCACCGTGATACTGCCTCAAGAAGGGACTGGCAGTGACTCAGAACATCTACAACAGCAACAGCGCAGCCTCGGCGTTATCACCCACCTGGGAGGTGTTGAGAATCGTGAAGATGTAGTGAGGAACTATGGAGACTTCCTCTAGCAGAGTGGCCAGGCCCAGCCCCCAGGTGAGGCCGAAGATGGGCGTGAGAACGAGCAGGGCTTTGATCACCCCCAGAAGGGCTTGTTGCTTCTCCACCTGGGGGCCCTCTGACAGTGAAGGTCTCAGCAGCTTCAGCATGGCCATGGCTAGCACCAGCCCGTTCAGGCCCACGATGGCCAGCACCGGCCCCACAAAGGTGTAGAGCGCCCCTCCCTTCCCATCCAACCAACATGCCCCCTCCCCCAGGTATTGCCCTCGGGGTAGGTAGAGGCCCAGGGCGACACCCGCAAACCCCATCGGGCACAGGTAGCCAAGAACCACCATCAGGGAGAGTACTCGACGCTTGGACAGCTGATGGAAGACAAAGAGCAACTGGTGGGCCAACATCAGGGCCTGAGCCAGCATCCAGAAAAAGGTGGCCAGGTAGAGGAAATGACAGAGGAAGGCAGCCGCCAGACACAGTGGGCTTTGGGGCCCTGGAGGAAGCAGGGGCGCTCCCAGGAAGCAGGTGTCGGCAGCCAGCAGGCACAGCACCACGTTGAGCAGGGCTGCGTGGCGCAAGTAGGCAACTTTGTTCCGCACCACGACTCTCCACACCAGCCTGTACACGCACAGGCACACAAGCAGTGCCAGAACGGAGGCCCCCAAGCCCACCCGACTCAGCACCTCCAGCGTGGGGTTTTCTGGAACAGTGCGTCGGGACATGAGGATGGAGAAGGCAGTGAGGTGCTGACAGATGCACTTAGTGGTAGAGCTGGCATTGGCTGCCTGCACCTGGCACCCTCCATCTGACCAGCCCCCGTTGCCCTGGAAGAGATGGTGGTCCCAGAAGACACAGTGAAGGGTGTTATCTCTGTCCCCAAAGTCCATGATGACTTCTCCCTGGTTGAAGGCCTGGCCACCTGCCATGATGGAGATGGAGAGGACCAGACCGGGAGTGGCATAGAGGGAGTCCCCCAGCCCTTGTTCATAGTTTGAGGGTAGAAGGTGGTCCAGTTTTCGCAGCACCAGGCTAGTAACTGTGATGTTACTATTGCTAGTAACCAGCGGGGCCAGCGAGCGTCTGGGGATCTGTGCCCACAGTGGGGGCTGAGTGGAGAAAGAGACTCTGTAGTCAGTAGGAACCGTGGGTCCGAGGAGCTGGGTCTGCAGCTGCACATTGGGCAGGCTGAAGGAGAAGGGGTGGTCCTGTGGGTACAGGTTGCCTGCCAGGGTCTCCACAGCCAGCAGGAGATCTGAGCCCGCTGAGGGCGTCTGGACCTGGGCCAGGGTCCACAGAGAACTGGGGTCCATGTCTAGGACCTTGTCTGTGGTTTTCAGGAGAGCCTGTGGAACCCAACAGAGAGATGAGCCCTAGCTGCTATCGCCCGTAGCACTGAGCCAAGGGCACTGGAAACTACAGACCCCCAAACCTGCCTTTCCTCGTTCACTGCAAGACCCAAGGTTGGAGAGAAAGGGGGAGGAGAAGACAGGCCTGGGAAGGGAGAATTTCTAGATAGGAAGAGTGGGGAGGGGCCTTCAGCTAACCACTGGGGCACCTTCAAGTATGTGGTCTCCTGAAGCACACCCCACCGGTCCATCTGACGACCCTTCTTCACCCTCTATCCCTTGGAGTCACCCCTCTTCAATTTCTTGACCCCTACAGGTCTGTAAAGCTGGGGATTGTGGTAGAGGGCCCGATGTTCTGAGTCAGAGAGCCACATGCATGTCTGTACATGAACATGTGATACGTATTCCCAGACATGAAGGGTGTGTAGTGTCATAGTCCCTAGTTATTCTTTTGGGGGCAGCCTATGGGTCACCAACTGATGGCTATATTGAGAGCTGGCTTAGGGGAGTACAGCAAAGCCAACTGTGTTAGAGTTTCTTCATGTAGGTACTTGTGTGTGTGTGTATGTGAGTGTGGATTCATGTCATATCCACATGTCTGCGCATGAAAGGAATGTATGCCTCTGAACTCATGTCTACACACCCCATCCTACCCATTTCCAGCCTCCCATGTGCTCCCAGCATCAAACCTCCACATGCTATGGCCTTAGTGACTGGTGTCCAAGAGGGAAGATGGACCACAGGAGCAGACGCTTGGGCTCTAGAAAGGCCTGTAGTCTGACAGCCCATGGTGATGTCTGAAGGACAAGTGCCAAAGGTGAAGAGCTTCGAGTCCCCTCTACCAAGCTGCCTCCTGCTGTGGCTCAGAGAGCTTACCTCCAGGTCACTTTGATGAAGCTGTGTTCTGGTGTCTGCCACCACCTTGGCCAGAAATGTCATGGTGCCCAGCAGTGCCAATAGGTCAGAGGGTGAGCTCACTGCCACTGTCTGCTCCAGCAGCTGTGCGAGGATCTGTGGCACCTCTTCAGCAGGCTGGCCCTGGCCTGCCCACAGCAGCTGGACAGACAAGACAACAGTGTGTGTGTGTGGGGGGGCAAGTCCTCTCTTCCTCCCCATAGTCACACCCCCTCCTAGGGGATCAGGAAGCAGAGAGTGGAGTGAGCCATGTGGAAGGAGCTGACACCAATGTTAGTGGAATGGACCCTTGATAGGTTAAGGTTTTAAGAATAGCACCCTTCCCACCGTGAGAGTCCTGGCTACTCTAGGCCCCCACGTCTACACTCTGGCTCTGCTAGGGCTCCAATTCAGAGAAGCTGAGCCGCCCCTGGGCTGGGCCTCTGGAGGAAAGGATGCTAGAGGTGGGTCCTGAGTGAGGAAGGGGTAGGTCGTGGAGAGTGTGGCATGTGGGCAGCAGGGCCAGAAGCTCTACCTGGGTTCTCTGAAGCAAGGCTAGGAGCCCTGTGTCTGTGCAGCTGCTGTGGATGGGGCCCCAGACCCCATCAGGCCCACAGGTCCTCTTCACTGTGCCGGTCTTGTTCACTGGACATGAGGCCTGTGCCACATGGCCAGCCTTGGTGACATTCCAGGCAACAGCTGAGGAGTCTTTGGGGCAGGTAGTGTCTCCATCTGAAGAATGACATCAGGGGGAGCTCAGCACCGGCAGTCCAGCCCGAGGCTTTCCTGGGGCAAGAACCCATGCAGGCTCTGGAGCCTGGTCCTGCTGCCCCAAGCGGGGAAATGTCAAGGAAGAGCTCCCAGGGCTAGCAGGGGAGAGGTCGGCCAGCTGGACCTTAAGCCCCACGTACCCTGGATGATGGTGACGGAGACGGGGACCCTGAGAGGGGTCAGTCCTGGGCTCTGCAGGTCGCAAGTGTATGTGGTGTCAGCTGCAGGGCAGTGCCGAATGGTCAGCACAAGGCACTGGTCACTTGGCGTGTTGAATAAGGAGGCTGAGGGTAAGAGGAGAAGGGAGCAGTCACAGGCCAGTGACAGATCTAGGACTCAGCAGGCCCGCATTTGCTGGTTCAGTCTTTCTAGCAATTTCAGAAGTAGATTGAGCGGTGGGGAAGCGCAGAGCAGTGTGAGGGCACCAGATTCCTGAAGGCAGAGCTCGGATTTTGGTGAAGGGCGCTCTGGGGCCTCTAACTAGCCTGGCGACTTGAAGCTACAGTTTCCTCATTTGTAAAATGGAAATATCATCAGGTGAACCTCACAGAGTGTATCGTGAGAATTTAATGAGATGTGGCTAAAAGCATTTAGCAGAAAGATATCTACACTCACGCGGCTATTGTTTTGTTGATAGAATTGGGGTTGCTCTGTTGCAGTGATTTTCAACCACTGTGCTACAGAAATTTTTAAAACATGCAATACCTGACTATTTAGCCAGGGGCACTGACCTCTTTCCCCTTACATTGCCAAATAAAACAATGATGACAGCCAACACAAGAGCTGTCCAGTGTGAATGAATAAGAATTATACCTTTAAAAAAAATCAGATCGGCAAAAAATACAATATATTTTTTGGTGTGCTGCAGAATTTTAGTAGTTTATGTATGCCATGAGCTTAAAAAGGTTGAATGTCGCTGCTCTATTGGGTAAAAGCAGTTTGGGACTTGAACCTAGACCTCCCAGGTTGAACCTAGCCTCTGCTTCTGGTAAGTTGGAGAACAAGCTGCCTGGAGGAGACTAGCTGCCCCTCTCCCCTGCCCCTGCCCCTTCCCCTGCAGGCCGGCCCCTTTCCATACCTTCGCTGCCCTCTGCAGGGCTCCAGGAAGCTACGTAGCCCAGGGGTGTGTAGGGGATGCAGCAGCTCAGCTGGAAGCCAGGGGAGGTGGCACAGGAGATGGAGAGCTGGTCTGGAAGCCGAGCCACATCTGTCGCCTTCAGGGGCACCCTCACCACCTGGTGCAGCTCCCACCTGAATCCCTGGGCCTCAAAGCAGCACATGTACTCACCTGCAGACACACACCCGCTGTGGCTCCAGGCTCCTTGGGCCCCCGTCTGCACTACAGAATCTCTGCTGCTCCCCAAGCCACAGCCTAGGGTGACCTTCTCTGTCTAGCCTCTGCTTAACCTCAGCAAGAAAGATCCCTGCCCCCAAAAGATTTCTAGGGGGAAGCCTGTAACTACGAAGTGAACCCCTCTGTCCAGTAGACGCCCTTCCTGCACCATCTCCTGCCGTTTCAACAGCGTGAAGAAAGGTACTCATCTGTTCCTAATGAAAACTGAGACCATGTTTTCAGCACGCTTCCTTTATACACTTTCACACCAACAGGCCTCTTGGCCTTTACTTCCCCCAATGGATAAATGGAAAGCTGGAGGGGGAGAGGAGGGGAGGAAAGCAAAAAGGAAGGACAGGCCGGCCACCTTCCCACTCATGGGAGATGTTGGTGATGCTGAGGACAGCCTGGCCCTGGCTAGACATCAGGGACACGTGTGACCCTGGCTGCAGGAGGATGGGCCTGGGGCTCCCTGTGCGCCGTCGCAGGAACCAGCTCAGGTTGGTGGTCTCCTGGCTCGTGAGGAAGGTCAGGTTCAGCGTGCTGTCAGGTGCCTGCAGCCAGGTGCTCAGGCTCAGGGTGCCGGGGACTGCAGGGAGGCAGGAGACAGGGACGGCTGCAGCAGGGCCGTGTGGGCCTCCGTGCAGCTAAGTGCACCGCTTCCCCATCTTCTGAAGCCCACCCTGCCTCCCTCCCTCCCCACCTAACATTTCTTATTTTCTTTTGTCCCTGGAGGAGTGTGACCGCTGCAGTCTAGCCTGGAAGACCCCATCTGTCATTGGGAACCGACAGGGAACCCATTGGGCCTCTGACTTCCCCTCTCCCAGTGACGAAGCTCTCTTTCCTTGGCAGTCGGTATGTCTCCCGAGCCCTGTTGTTCATTAGTCTCACTACTTAGTCCCAAGCTTGGGCCTTGATCTGCTGTGATGGCCAGAGTCTTCTCCTACCCAGAGGAGCCGCTGGGCTTGGGCCAGCTGGCAGAAATACAGGGTCAGGGAGGAAAGAAACACGGAGGTTTCTTCCACACGGGGCCGTTGGTTATCAAGTTCTCAATTCTCCTCACCAGGTGGCAGCAACTGGCAGTACCCAGCTTCAGGGGGGCTGAAGACAAGACAGCCACAGGGCTGGTGGCTGTGGAGGGGTTGGCAAGGCTGGTGACGGGAGCACATGCTGGCATTCCACTGGTATCCAGGCAGGCAAGCACAGTAGGTAAACCCATCGGGCTTGACATTACACTCTGCGACAGAGGGAAGAGGAATGAGAAGTGGGCAGGACTGTGGGGCTGGGTATCCCGAACAATCCCAAACTCATGGGCACCTCAGCTACACCCACCCATCAGGACTGATCCCTGAGCCAGGGTTCAAAGCAGTGAAGGTCACACACTCCCAAAGGTGTGTATGTGGGGGATGGGTGGAGAAATCCAGGCCCACCACCACCTGCCCCTTGGGCCCTCTGTTTAGAAGGTGGAGCAGGAGGAGAAGGGTCTGTCTGGTGGGGAGGTGAGGAAGGAGCTGAGCCATGCAGGCCCTGCAGGAAATAGGGAGCATCTCGGGCAAGCTGGCTGCAGGAGGGCTGGCGAGCCCATGTTCCCTGCACTCAGAGCCCCCTCCCAGGCAGTGGGAGGCACTGAGAGGCAGGAGTGGAATCTCCCTACCTGTGGTGAGGCTGAGGCCAGTGAGAGTTCTTGGGGAGGTGGAAGCTGAGGCGGGGGGCAGAGGCAGGGCCCTGGAGAGCGCTGCTGACCAGCTCTCATCTGCAAAGTCCAGCTGTGCATAGACTGAGACCAGAGCTGATTCCGCAGGAGAAGAGGGGGCCGCTGGAGAGGAGAGGCAGCGAGGCCATGGGCCAGTTCCTTTTGCACCCCACACCTAGCTGGTCACTGCCGGGAACCCAGAGCAGATCCCACCTCCCATAGCCCATCTGGGACAGTCAGGGCTCGGGAGTCATAGCTCCTCATCTAGCTATGAAACACCTGTTTTATGTCACCCTCCCAACAACCCCCATTTAGAGACGAGATAAATGATTTTCTCCAAGCCTCAGCTAGAGAACCATGTAGGGACCCTCCCCCCCTCGCTGGCCCCTTCCAGTCCTCCCTCCCCACCTCACTGCCTGCTCCCTCCCCTCCTCCTCCATCCACTCACCACCTGCTCTACTCTCTTGGCCCAGCTGCTGCGCAGATTCCCCCGCCGCCTGACTGGGTCCCTAGAACAGAGCACAGAGGAGAGGCTTCCTAGGAGAGGCTGGCACCTCTCGAGGGACACCTCTCCAAATGGCTCGGGGGCCAGTCTGACTAATCTAGCATGACACAGGCTCTTGGAAGGTCCTCTTTTTTGTGTGTGTGCCTAGAATTAAGCAGAACGTCAGGAGGGGAAAGTAGGCTCCTGGCAGGAGGTTCGCAGGATGCAGCCCCAGGGACCCGCCAGGGCCGGAACCCAGGCACCAGGCACACCCCGGAGAGTCAACAAGCTTTGCTTAATTCCCTCCTGAATTTACCTGTCCCTGGGCCTCTAGGCTAATTGAAATGGCCGGGTCTGGAGTTCCAGGGGGAGGGCTGGGCAGGCTGGCTGGGGCCCAGAGGCTTGGAGACATCTAGTCCCTCCATAGGAATTGCCACTGAGGTAAGCAGAGGCCGCGCCTGCCCTATGCCTCTGGTTCCTGTAAATTATTCCTCACCTACTCCTGCTTTGCTCAAGATTTTATGTGTATGTGGATATCTATCTAAAAACAGATGTGGCTAGAGATAAGGGTATGGATGGGGATAGAGACAGAGATAGAGATAGAGATAGACAGAAATAAAGATATAGAGACAGAGACAGAGAAAGAGAGATAGAGAGAGAAATAGAGATAGAGAGAGAGACAGAGAGAGATAGAGATAGAGAGAGAGAGAGAGAGAGATAGAGAGAGATAGCCACTTGGAAGCAAACCCAGATGAAAAAGTACTAATGCNTAGAGAGAGAGAGAGAGACAGAGAGAGATAGCCACTTGGAAGCAAACCCAGATGAAAAAGTACTAATGCAGACTCTGCTGTCTTTCCCAGATTCTCTCCTGTCCTCTATTCCAGTGGGTCCCAAATCTGGGAACTTTTTCTTTTCATTTTCAAATTGTAAGCTTGACTGGAAGAGCCTTTATCCAAAGTGCAAAAGGCATCGGAGTTTCACAGAGACTCAAACAAAGAAACAAAGCTATCCCCACGCTCGGGAATAGAAGACGGAACTCTCGGACACCTGGTAACAAACCAGCCTCTTTATGAATGAATGACTTCCTCTCCCTCCAGCCCCTTGCCCTCCTCCTATCAGTTCATCCCACACCTCGGTGCCTCTCCACCCAGAGGCCGCATCATTGGCTCTGTGGACCTTCCGAGGGTCCTCGCCCCAGTCTTACTCACAGGTTGGGATGCTCGGGCAACTGGTGGCCCCACAAGGGGGAGAGTCATGGCCAGGAGTAGCACGGGGGCAGCCGAACAGGCCATGGCTCAGTGAAGCAGTCCTCAGGAGCCCTCCCTCTGCCTCATGATGCAAATTTCCCCCGAGAAGAGCTGGCCAGGCAGAGCACAGATGGGAGGGGAGGGAAGAGTGGAAGGGAGCCAGGGTTGAATTTGCAGAGGAAGTGCCACAGCCCGTGACTGAGACAAATGGGCATCCAGGTCACTGTGGGGCCACCTGGAGCCCACATGCCCCCATGAGAGGAGTCTGCCCAGATTCCCCCTGGGGTCTGGAAGGACTCAGTGAGCAGGAGAGGACTTAAGGGTCCTAGGTCACAACTAGCAATGTGTCCGTAAGTCAGGTTCAGTCACCTCTCCAAGGATCTGGGAAATCTGAATTGCTCTGGAACTACTAGGAAGCTGGATCATTGATCACAGAGTCAAGGTTAGAAAAGACCAACATTAGCCCAGCTGGTGTGGCTCAGTGGTTGAGCATCGACCTATGAACCAGGAGGTCACAGTTTGATTGCTGGTCAGGGCACATGCCTGGGTTTTGGGCTCGATCCCCAGCAGGGGGCGTGCAGGAGGCAGCCGATCTATGACTCTCTCATCACTTATGTTTCTATCTCTCCCTCTCCCTTCCTCTCTCTGAAATCAATAAAGATATATTTTAAAAAGAAAGAAAAGAGCAACAATAGAGCTCATTGCTATTCTCAAATAACTTCCAGATAGACGAGAGTCTTAAGTGTAACAAAAAATCTGGAAAAATATTAGGAGAAATTATGAAGTAATTTCACAAAATAATTTTAAAGTAAAGAAGGCTTTTTGAAACAAGACACAAAACCCAGAAGCCAGAAAGGAAATTCGACGTCTAAAAAGATTTAAGTTTTGGTTGGAAAAAAAGACAACATATTTGTAGCATAATGATTGCATAAAGGGCTAATCTTTTTATTTTTTAATTTTTCAATATCAGTTGCCATTCAATATTATATTAGTTTCAGGCATACAGCGGAGTGGTTAGGCATTTATATAACTTACGAAGTGATCTCCGCAATAAGTCTCACACCCACCTGGCACCGTACATCCTTAGTACAATGTTATATTCCATATTCTGTACTTGACACCCGTGTGTCTAGTTTGTAACTGCCAATTTGTACTTCTTAATCCCTTCACCTTTTTTCCCAGCCTCCCTACCCCCATCCCACCTGGCAACCTGTTGTCTGTATCTATGAGTCTATTTCCGTTTTGTTTGTTTATTTTGTTTTTTAGATTCCACATATAAATCACATGGTATTTGTCTTTCTCTGTCTGACTTATTTGACTTAGCATGACACCCTCTAGCTCCATCCATGTTGTGGCAGTGGTAAGATTTCATTCTTTTTTTGTGGCCGAGTAATATTCCAGTGTATATATGCACCACCTCTTCTTTATCCACTCGTCCACTGATGGACACTTCGGTTGCTTCCATGCCTTGGCTATTGTAAACAGTGCTGCAATGAACAAAAGGATGTGTAAATCTTTTTGAATTAGTGTTTTGGAATTCTTCTAATACCCAGAGGTAGAATTACTGGGTCAAAAGGTAGTTCTATTTTGTAGTTTTTGAGGAACCCTCACATTGTTTTCCACAGTGGCTGCACCAATTGTAATCCCACCAACAGCACATGAGGGTTCCTCTGTCTCCCCATCCTCGCCGACACTTGCTGTTTATCGGTTTGTTGATGGAGCCATTCGGACAGGTATGAGGCGCTATCTCATTGAGGCTTTAATTTGCATCTCTCTGACAACTAGTGATGTTGCGCATCTTTTCAAATGTCTGTATGTCCTTTTTGGAGCTGTGTCTGTTCAGGTCCTCTGCCCACTTTTTTATTGGATTGTTTTTTTGGTGTTAAGTTGTATAAGTTCTTTATTTATTTTGGATATTAACCCCTTACCAGATGTATCATTGGTGAATATGTTCTCCCATTCGGTAGGCTGTCTTTTTGTTTTGTTGATGATTTCCTTTGCTGTGCAAAACTTTTTAGTTTGATGTAGTCTCATTAGTTTTTCTCTTGTTTCCTTTGAAAGGGCTAATCTTTTTAACATAAGAATTTTTATTTTACACATCAGGAAGACAGAAAATAAGTAAAAAGTAGTAACAAGCAGTTTACTGAACAAGAAATAGAAATAGTTTGACAAACATATAAAAACATCCAACTTAAGATATAAGAAATGCAAATAAGAAAATACTGTCAGCTACCAGTTACCAAAAGATAAGCTATTGATTCTATGCAGTGTTGACAAAAATGTACTTGTACGTGAGCACAAAAATATGTGTTTAAGAACATTCAAGGTGGAGTTGTTTGTGATAGCAAATGAGTTACGTCCGTTCCCAAGGGATAGGTAAATAAATATGAGATTTCCCAACAACAGAACGTTGGAGGGGGAAAAGTGAAGTAGCTCTACGAGGCCTTAAATAATATTTGTATTAAATGAATCAATAAATAAATGAAACATATCAAGACATTAACAGTGGTTGTAGCTAAATGGTAGGATTTATATCTTTTTCTTTCTTACTTTTTAAAATATTTTCTTAAATTGTTGACAGTATTACAGATGTCCCGTAGTGAAAATACCAAATCTTACAGTGTCAACTTCTTTCTCATATGCCAACCAGGTCCAGAGTCCTTCAGTCATGCCCAGGTGTCACTGGTTGTCAGGAAGCACCCACAGGGCTGAATCAGGTCTTAGGCCTAGGGTGGGGCTCAGACAAACAGGTGCTTATTGCTGCCACCTACCTACTCCCAAGTCCAAGGTCAACAGTAAGGCTGTTGACTTTTGTCCCTCTACAGACAGAATGATATTTTGAAACCAATAAGTTTTTACCCCTGCTGACAGCTTCTCTGACCACCAAGTTGCACCCTGGTCAAAGAAAGTTCCCTTTCTCTTCCTTTGTGCTTTGATTCCTTCAGACCATGTCAGCTGGAGTTTTTGATAATAAAGTTTTGCAATCCAGGCTTCTCTTATCTGTATCAGAGCAAGTTATCTTAAAGCTTCCACTACTATGTAAACTATTAATAGGTTGCCAAAGAGTAAAGGTTGCTTAGACCTTTATCCCATATGAATCTTAACTTCTTATTCATGAGATTAAGTTATTAGAAATATTAAATGGTAGATTGTCAGAGTGGGAAGGGGCCTGAGCTGAGATACCATCTACATCAACTCTCTTGCTTCACGGAAAGGGGAAGGAGCCAAGAGGGGAATTGACTTACCAAAGATCACACAGCTAGTAAATGTCAGAACCAGAAGACCAAGGGCCAGGCCTTCTGACTTTGAGTCTAGGGAATCTAGATAAAGGGAATTAAGATACAGCAATTTAAATATAGAACAATAGGAACTTCTGGCTAACAAAATAAATTAAAAGTAATATAAGATAGAATTTGATTCTATAAGGAAGGCAGTTCTTCAAAAAGGCTTCCTAAGGAGGAAAGGAAATGAATATAATATAAAAATAGGTGGTTATGGGAAGTGTGTGCCTAAGAATCAAGCAGTCCTTGGAAAGTAACTTCATGAATATCTTACTTATCTAGAGGCCCTCAATTCAGCAAATGCCACCGTTCGGAATAGAGCTGAGATCTACAAGGAACCAAAGAAGGCCTGTGAGCAGCAAAAGAAGTCATAGAGATAGTGTATCGAAGGGCGTAGCTGGATCCATTTAGGCAAAGGAAAGAACTAAAAGGCATCCAGATTGGAAAGTAAAAGTAAAATTATCTTTATTCACAGGTGACATGACGTTATATTTAGAACATACTAAGGAATCCACTAAAAAACCAGAGCGAATTAAAGCTCAGCAAAGTTGCAGGGGTACAAGAGCAATAGGCAAAAGATCATATTGTATTTGTGAAAATTAATAAATGAAACCTCATTTGGAGTCAGGAGGCTAGAAGAGAAAAACCTCATACACGTGTCACTCACCGCACACTATTGATCCCAAGACTCAATGTATCTTGGTGCATGTGTCAAAATACGATTTGGGCACAGAGATCATGACAGTTAGGAAATATGGTATCGACAGTGCGCAGAGGAACAGAAAGTATCCAGCTGTTCACCCAGCTGTTACGACAGCAGCTAATTAGCCAATCATTGGGTGACACAGAAAGTTCTGATACAGAAAGTACTTGTTTAAAATTGTCTGAGGCCAAAAAAAAAAAAAAAAAAAGTTTGGTGCCCTGAAATGCATGATCTGTGAAGGATACGACAAAATAAGAGGCACTTTAACACAAAGCCATGTGCTATATATGTCCTCATAAAAACTAAGGATATTTATGACATCAAAAAAACTAAAGCACTCAGCCTCTCAGGGGCATGCCCATGCCTTTCTGCCCCCTTAGGCGTGCATCTCCTAAACTCTAAGGGTTCCCACCAGACTTGCAACCAGGGGAGCAATGGGCAGTGGCAGCTCATCCCAGGCTAATCCCCTGAACCTGTCTCTAAGGGCCCCTTTTCTCTGACTTTCCAGTGAGCCCAAGCAGTCGCTCCTAGGCCCATTTCTTTCCTGTAACATTTCTAGAGAGCAAAAGCAGCCCCACCTAGGCTCTCTACTGTTGCTTCTTCTATCCTAAGCCCTTTACTGTCACCAGCTTTAATAAACATACTCTCAAAAAAAAAAAAAAATCTTTAAAGAAGTGGTATAAAGTGATTCAGAGAATAGCGAGAATTTCAGATCTCATATGACTTCAGCATCTAACTCTGCATCCTAGACTGAGATCCCATACTCACTGTCTCCGATAGAACAGAAAACCCTGAATCAGTATTTATGTTAAAGTATTTGCTCAAAAGCACAACTTTAGAGAAATTGAAGAAACTCATGGAATTTCTGATGCTATCTTTGATTCCTACAAGATGTGGGTAAGACCAGGACATTAGAGTAGGACAGAATTTTTTCTTCTAAAGGTAAAATTATTTCAAATCCTCCAAGCCAGGGGCCTGCCTGATACACACACACACACACACACACACACACACACACACACACACACACACACAATTTTAGTATGTTTTTATTGATTTCA